CGGCCAGTATTTGCTCACTGCCGTTCAACTCATTCAATTAAATGGTTTTGGAGAATCGTCGAAAAAGGGGTCAGGTTTGAGTCGATTTTATGATTAAAAAAAAGAAAATTGCGCAAATCTAACACTTTTCTAGGAATTTTGATTTTTAGAGCAAACTGCCAAACTCTTGGTCTTTAAGTGATGCTTCAACTCTTAAAAGCCTCCATCCAGTGATGCAAAAATGAAGGCTCCAGCTCAATTTGACCCTAAAAATATTGATTCTTTAATTTTCATGGAAGCACCTGATGAAGAGTTGCAAGCGAAAGCAGGTCTAAATTGCGACAAAATGATGCTTTTCTCACTACGCGTACGTCTAGGAAATTCGAGTAGGTTTTGACCCAGAAAGCGAAGTTTGAATATCAGACATTTAGGTGCAAGATTAGGTCACAATTTCATGTTTTCTCTCCCATGTTTGCTAATTTCTCGGAAGCAAAATGAGCAAAACGCTCATTTTCACATCATTACAGAGAGAACTAAAAGACCTTTTTATGAAGTGCACCATCGATATGGAAATATTTGCAGCTTTCGTAAAGAAGTTTTGATTTAAAAAAGTTTTAGATTTGCGTGTTTTTTTTTTAGTTGCAAAATTGACTCAAACATGATGCTGCTTTTTTCGAAGTTTCTCAAGAACCATTTGAGCCACAGAATTCGTTTTGGCATCGTTGGATAGAGAATTGAAAAGTCGATTCAGTCATAACAACACCAGTGAGGAAATTCGAGTAGTTTTGACCCAGAAAGCGAAATTTGAATATCAGACATTTAGGTGCAAGATTATGCCAAAATTTCATGTTTTGCGTCCCGTTTTTGCTCATTTGTCGGAGGCAAAATGAGCAAGAACGTTCATTTGTACATCATTCTAGAGAGAAGTAAATGGCCTTTTTAGAAAGTAAACCATCGATAAGGAAATGCTGGCAGTTTTCTCAAAAATGCTTGAATTCAAGAAGTTTTAGGTTTGCGTGGTYGCAAAATCCACTTRAACATGACGCTGCTTTTTTCGAGGTTTCTCAAGAACCATTTGAGCCACATAATTCGTTTTGGCATCGTTAGATAGAGAATTGAAAAGTCGATTCACTCATGACAACACCATTGAGGAAATTCGAGTAGTTTTGACCCAGAAAACGAAATTTGAATATCAGACATTTAGGTGCAAGATTAGCTCAAAATTTCATGTTTTCTCTCCTGTTTTTGCTCATTTCTCGGAAGCAAAATCACCAAAAACGCTCATTTGTACATCATTCGAGAGAGAACTAGAATACCTTTTTATAAAGTGAAACATCGTTAAGGAAGTGTTGGCAGTTTTCTCGAAAAGTCTTGATTTCAGCAAGGTTTAGAGTTGYGTGGGTTTTTTGAGATGCAAAATGCGTCTTTATTTCCTCCTCGGATCGGACTTTCAACCYTCTATGCACTAATAGGWAAACGAGATTTGTACCTCAAATGGTTGCGGAGAATTGAAAACTAGCACTTTTCTTGAAATTGAGATTTTTTTGAGAAAACTGCCGACTTTTTCCAAGCAATGCTTCACCTCCTTAGAGCGTAACTAGTGCTCTATTGGGTGAGCGCTTCAGCTGAATCGTTTCCTGATAAATTATATTTAGAGTGAGCGCTCGATCTGCCAAAAGTTTCCGACGGAAAAAACCTCAAGAAACTGAAGAAAGTAGACGGAAAAAACCAGACAATTCGAACAGAAATCGGATTTAAGATCTAAATCAAGCGACACCGGCGCTGATACACATACGATATGAGAAAGTAAAGCCAACCGTTTATTTATTGGCCGGTCGAAAATATGTTCGGATCAAGTTAATTCGATAGTCGTGCTGAAAATGACTCTAATTTAAGTTGTAGGCATTTGTTAATTTGCAGTAATACAGTGCAAATCGTACAGGTGCAAATTAGATTTTAAATCGAGACCCCGGAGGTTTTGCAAGCCTTGCAAATGCCGTCATTAGTTCGGTTTTGCGCAATTGTTCTTTTTGTTTAATCGGGAAAAACTGGTAATTATTGTCTCAGTTCCAAGCTGCAGGCTTAGTCCAATAAACCGGACGAATATGAACAATCATTGCGGCTGACCGAAAAAAGTTAAATGGGTTTCGCGACCGTGAACTATTCGATTTTACATTAATGTGCTCTTCATAGAACATTCCAGGATTTTTCAATAAGACCCGATTGGTCATGCCAACAGGACCGATATCATTTTATACTCGAATGAGAACGCATGGAACTTGATACATAAACGCCTCTTTTTGCGCGGCCCACAATTGATTGATGTCGAAGGATTTTTACACTTTGTAGATGGATTTAATGGGTTTCTTTGAATTGTGCTTGTCAGTCAATAAACGGTTTTCCAACCGGCAAATCAGCGAAATCTAACATGCTGGTTGGGGGCTCAATTAAACTGCAGTTGAACCAACCGGAATTTTTCTTCAAGTCATTGATCAGACAGCGGTTTAACCAAAAGCCTGCGTCATCCGGTTTCCGGATATTAAATCAGAAATCGCGTCAAAAACCGGCGCAACCTTGAGGCACGTCCAAGGAAACTCTACTCGAGTTCTTGTTACCCGAGAACCGTGTAGTTGACCTTTATAATCCTATAGAATTCGCCGGATTTCGTATTTGCGCTCCAACACCCGAACCGGATTGCTTCCACCATTTATCAGCCACCAATATTTCGGTGCTGGACGCAAATCAACAAGAAAATTCCTCGACTTCTGGCGCTCAGAGAGGCGCAACCGATCGCTGAGCAAATGAGCTATTCGAAACGCTCCGACAATTCATAACCACTTTATACACACGCTGGTATTTCCCGAGTTTGCCTTTATTACGGCCAATTATTATCCCATTACGTTAAGCCCAATAAATAGGTTATATTAGCATGTCGCATTCCCAGCGCCAAGATTCCGGCTTTCGAACGGAAAACCTTCACGGTTTTTCTTTTATTTCCATCAAAGCCCATTACAGCGAACGGGAGCGCATTCTTTCATACTCGAAAACTCAAACTAATTTACGCAACGCTCTGGTACATCGGACTAGCAGGAGCAGGAGTAGGCGTCGCTCTCACTCGCGCGCATCTGGACGAATATAATCGAGTGCAATCGCTCACCTTCGAACGGATCAGCCCTATTACCAGGGCCGATTTAAATGTACATTATCATCACCGCTCAGAATACCTCCTAACTCCTTTCTTCTGCCAAACTTTTGTGTCTCAAGACGACGGAGAAATGTTCGCGTCATCAACATCATTAAAATTCGAATTTCATCGATAGAACCGAAAAACTATGAAGTTTTATACRGGGTACTTGGGGAGTWCGAGAAAAWTRKTGWMAATTTYCTCTTYRARRKKTKMTAGARGAAAKTMMCKKKKGRAGWWCGAAKWWMAAYWTTGCTATTAAAYWTTMTTTTSMAAWKKTTCCATGTTTAATTGATAGCATATTGGAATACTTAAGCATTCAAAKAGAAAAATTMCGATCTTTGCTTCAAATTACGAACATTTTTKATATCAAAAAAKTTCTCTTCTACAATTGTTTGATGAAAAGGCACAGGCCTTCCAAGGGCACTCAGAGCACATTAACTGACACTGTCCCAAGCACCAAATAAATACTGAGGAAGGGCTACATTCCTACCACGTTTGTACGATACACACAGCACAAGGAGATACAAATGGA